GCTGAAATAAATATTCATATATGTAGATATATATATGTATATAATTATTGTAATTACATTGTATAATAATTAATACTGTCATTAAAACTAAATGTTGGGAATATAATAAAGAAACACACAATCATGAATTTATAGATTCCTTTATTATCATTTACTCTAATCTATAGATCATCTATTCTAAATATCAAATCATTCTTTTATAATTTCTTTGATTTTACTGATTTTTAAAAACACTTTAAAGTTCAATAACGGCCATGATCGTCGTTCCCCGATCACTACGATAAATCACCGTTAGCAATTTTGCACGCCATCTGTAGTGAATACCCAAGATCACAAAATCACAGTCGTGAATGAAGTTAAATCACGGCCATGATCGTGATTCGGCGATCACTGTGATAAATCACCGTTAGTGATTTTGGACGCCATCTCTACCATTCATGCATGTTCAGTTTCATTTCTATACACCCATCTTATATGTTCTGCTAATCGACTCGCACACACCTTCACAGTCCACTCGCACGGGCTCCATTCATCCATCTTCTGAGTATCAAAACATTATAATATCAACATTATAGTGCAAACCTCTGTGCTTGTATAATATGAGTTGTGTTTTTCCAGCCACGTGCCCTGCGTTGCTGTCGCTGCACCTACGATTCGTCTTAGCATTGACAGTTTTCCTAACCTACAAATTGTGAGTTTATAAATCATTCCGGCCTCTACATTTATTTTGCATTTAATCTTTCCCTTTATCTTTAGGTTTCGTTTTTATCTTCTTTTCTTCTTGTCCTGGCTTATTTTGGATTGTTATATTTCATCGCTTCTGTTCTTTTAATACCGTAAGTATTTAATTATTTATTTCTTTTCTTTCCTTTCTTCTCTAGCATCAATATAATCTAATCTTATGTTTTTCAGGTTCTTCTATTCTCTTGTTCTGTGCTTGCGGCCTTTTTATTATAGTTTTCTGTCCACAATTCTTTTCCTCTAGGCTCCCTTTCCTATCTGTTTTATGCTTGTCTTTTCCTTTCCTTAGTTATATATCTATTCTTCTTTCCATTTGTGATATATAGCTATCCTACTTTATTTTATTTAATTTCCATATCCTACTTGTTTGTGTGTTTAGTCTCCTTGGGACTGGATATATTATAAATATATTTTTGAGTCTAAGTCTACGTATAAATCTAATTATAAATATTATAGATATGAACTTAAGTATAATCCTAGCTATCGGTGCCAATATAAATATGGATATAAGTGCGTGCCCTCGACCAGTCCAATAAACAAGTGAGAAAGATAGATCAGTTAAATGTATAATTAATTAAATAGATTAGCCATTTATATAAGTAATTAAGTAAGTAAATACGTAAAGTGATTTAAATGCATAAATAAGTAAATAAATAGAATAAATTAAATAAATAAGATAAAATAAATAAGATATGACAGTTAAATAGTTATGTGTATAAATAAGTATTTCAAAACATAAGTAAGTAATAAATATAAGTATAAATGTACATCAATCTTTAATAGTTCTTCAACTTCTTATTGGGTTATCCCATTCTAAAATATAATGAAACTCTCACCTTGTTTCCTGCGCTTATAGATTCGGTCATTTTCTTTATTTCTGTTATTGTGTATTGCTTAGGTATATATGTGCTAAGCATAAAATGAATAAAATAAATAAATAAAATAAGATAAAGTACAATAACATAAATAAATAAATAAATAAAATAAAATATAAAATATAATAAAAATAGATTGATAAGTAAGTAAGTAAATAGTTTAGTAAAAAACACTGCTGAGTGTAATCAATAAAATTATAATAATAACATAACAGGTACTATGTGTTATAAATATAAAATAAATAAATAAATAAAATATATAAATAAAATAAATAATTGTATTTTGTATTGTATATTTTTTTTTTATTGTATACAGCTTTGTGCTTCTTACAATCTTTTCTGTTGTTTTGTGCTTTCCTTTTATAATTAGTTTATTACCGACATTTATTATGATCTATATAACTTATTACATACGGTTTCATACATGCGTAGATTTATTTTTAAGGTATTATCTGTATAATGGTAATATTTGTTAGGTTTAATCTGTGTTCTTAATTATATTACCTTTACTTTTGTTCTTCTTTGGTTTCTTCTGCTATCACCTCTTTTGTCTCCTTCTCTTGTTTCTTTTTTCCTTTATTCTTCCAGACAGAATGCCCTCAATTTCATGCTTTCTTTTATGTAATTTGCAAGTTCCCATATTTGCTTCTCTGTGGTTACTGTTAGTATTTCTGTTAGTTCCTTATTTTTCATTGCTACTGGTCTGATCTCTGTATATAGCGGGCATCTTCTTATTATATGTTCCTTGTCTTCTAGTTCATTTTTATTGCATGCTTGACAGTGTAAGATTGTTTCTATTTTATAGCTTAGACCGTTATCTATTTTTATCGTCCACCCTAGTTTACCTGCTAATCTCACTTGTGCTATTATCCGTTTGGTTGCAATCGCTAGGTTCAGATTTAGGTAAGTTGTTCTTTCTATTCCTTTTGTTTCTTTAATGAGCTTGTATGTTTCGCTGTATGTGGATAGTATTACTCTTTTCTTTTCTTCTTCAAATAATTTCTTCGATATTTCTTCTAACATTTTTTGTTGTACGTTCTGTAACCGTTATTTTATACCTTGTTCTAACCGACTAGCCGTGGGGTCGGTTACGAACCCCTGGGTCTGGTCACGTGACCTATCTAGATTGGTTCGTGCCTCCAGGCACTGGACAGCGGAGAGATCTGATTGGTACAAGAAGAAAGTTGGAGACGTTTTCGGGAATAACAAAACTTCACGTATATTCTGTTGGAATTTATGTGTACAATGAATTGTCGCTGTGCCCGCGATTGAGGTTAGAGTTCAATTTGAATTGAGAAATCCATACGTCGATTGACTTGACAGTTCGTTATGCTTTACCGCTCGTTCACAATACGCCGTTTCATGCCGATATTCTCTCGGAGGCGTGTTCTTGTCGATTGCTACGGTTAATCTGGTTGCAAAGTTACCGTACGCGTACGATTGAGGACCTGTCGCATCACCCACGCATATGGCCGAAGTTCGGAGAAAATGCGTGAGTAGAGACGAGCATAACGCCCCAGTCAATCTGCAACATCCAAGAGCTCACTCGTCGGCACTATATGTGGATTTCGAGTGTTCTCCGGTGCCGGGAGAGAGACTACGACGATGCGACGGAACGAATACTAGCCCGTGCGTATGTCAACGATTGAGGATTTGTCGCAGCACGCACGCATATGGCCGAGTTGTCGGAGAAAATGCGTGAGTGGAGACACGCAAAAAGCCCCAGTCAAACTGAAACACCCAAGATCTCACTCGTCGGCACGATGCGTGGATTTCGAGTGATCTTCGGCGTCGGGAGAGACTGTGACCATGCAGAATCCGATCGTGTATCGCGAGTCGAATACGACGCGGAGATAGTCAAATTCCTCAGTAACCAGTGAATGAAATTTCATGGTTCTGCGCTCACGATGACAAGGACACGTGAATCAACATGCATTCAACACACCTTGTCTACACACGGTTGTACAGTGCCGAAAAACAAGTATCGTTAGACCGAGACAAATACTTTAAGAATGAAATCGTACCTCTCTACTATTTTACGGCTATGTACAATACAACGTTCCAATGACTGCTGCGTGGTTCACGACTGATAACTTTAAATACCGATAAACTTCCCAAAATTCCGTGTTGTGGCAGTGCCAAAGCGCGGTTTGTGCACTTGACTCCTCGGTTTGAGGCGCGTACGTAACGAGGGCAAGAAAGGCGGTTTGACAATCTTACCAGGTCGGTTTGACCTCTCGCTTACGTATCGGGTTTCGCCGTACGGACCCCCTTTAGAATCGCGTGTTTATCAGTTCGCTTACCAGCGCAGAGTGCTGATCGATGCCGTCAGATCAGTCGTCTTATCAGTTCGACGGGCTTGCATCGACCTCCTTCGATCAGCACTTGGTGGGGATCCATGCGCACGCATTCTCATTAGATAGTGGGGCATTAGCTCCGCGTTCCTTCTTTCATGACGCGGTTCGCGAGCACCGTAGCTCCTTGCGGTGGTGGGGATCGCGGCTGCTGGACCGATATATTTTAATGTTTCTACGGGTTCGTTGCCGGAATATCTTGATATTAACCCAATTTGTTTTTTAACATAGTCGTACCTATGGATCTGTGATCTTTCCCGACGGCATTGACTAGTATTTGACCGTAATCCAGATTCAGCTAATTCATCGTCTGTCAATTCCCTGTTCGATCCTATATTAATGTCAGAACCTCCGCGACGAGGAAGCGGTGTATTCGGTCGATCAGTATTTCGTTATTCTATAATACCCATTCTTGACTCAAGTCGTGCTAATTGCGCGGTTAAACTTGACAATACTTCTAATACTTGATCGAATTCACCTTGTTTCGAAATACTCGGACGAGGTCCTCCCTCCGTATCGCTATTATCTGTACTAGATTCTTTTTTAGGAATTTTGCTCGAAAGAATCGACATAGTAAGTATAATGCATGTATGATCCGTAGTTGCATTAGCAGGCACCTTCGACCTCAAACTCGGAAACAAATCTTCCTTTAGAAGGGATCCCTGCACCTTCACGTGTCACTTGATGATCCTCTTCTATTCTTCACCCGAAGAAGTTTTTCTGAATTTATCTTCTTTCTTCTAGCACCTTTCGTCACTATCTTGTACAATTAGTACACAGTATCCCACCGCTGCCACCAGAATTTAACTCCGTCTGTTATGTAGTGGAATGCGCACCGCGAGGGAATATACGGAAATCCGACTGTTAACAAATTCGGAGAGAAGAGAATACCGATTTTGCTATATGTACAAACTTTATTAAGTAAAAAGATCGTGAAGAAGACAAACGTCGCGCACGCCTGTTCTCTGAGTACTGCAGCTCCCCATCTTTTGGGGTTCCTTTTGTAAAGTGTCCATGCTTCAAGTGACTAACCCCCGTGTTAGTCACTTAGGGTTGCACGTTGAACGGCTAATCAGATTGATAATTCGGTGGATGATTCCTCTGACCACTGAGTCATCAATCTCTACATAACAACGGTCATTGCCATGAATCGATTTGTGATTGGTAGGAAATGTAGCCGTTTGCTTGGTAGGTACAGTGGTAGAGGTAGTAGCATTGTTTCTGGGATTCTTGGAAGTCCGCGTTGATTGGTAATAAGGTAACGACCTTAAGACGGCGATTATTTTGTAGGTGATGTGAGGCTGTCTAGAATTTCCGTTTATGACGGTATGTCGACCGTATATACGGTCTAAGACGTAATGATCGCTACGACTGTGATCTACTTGCGTTGGTAATTGGTATGCTATATTTTTTATGCCAAACTATCGAAAAGCGTTAAATTTTGAGTAAAAAAGTACTGACTTTTATTAGCCGTAAACCTAATAATTAATTAATAATTTCAATTTGTTTCTTGAAAATAGTCTGTGCGTAGGATTCCACGCATACTATACACAGACGAGATATAAGAATAGACGTATCATCTTATGGGACTTGGTGTCCTACGAAAATCACACTAGTTCGAGCGCACCTCTCTATAAAAGTTTCTGATTTCAGGAACTACGTTCGACATCGTGATAGCGCACAGCACACACGCACACACCCGTAACTGCATATAGCAATACATACATACATTATTGCTTCGGTTTCGCTAGCAAGGAATGTAATACTGATATGGTAGGGGGCTTACTGACGCCCCTGAAACATGGATTAGAAAATTACATTGCATGTTAGGTCTATTCTTATATCTCGTCTGTGTTATAATATCGGATTTGTATGATATTTGTATAATTTCTGACTTTTTATTTTTAATACTTCTGCAATTCCAAAATGTCATTCTTATGTTTTGATTGTTAGAGTGCTGAATATGAGAAGCCATTTGTTACATTATGTGGTATCCTGATTAAGAAATGTTAAATTTTGTTTCTATAATTGCAGATTCAAAAAAAATTTTGAAAGATCCCTCTTTTACCACCTAATGGAATTTCTAAACCAAAATACTATACTAGGTAATCAAAAATTTTGTTTCAGAACTGGATATTCCACTATTGAACCAACTGGCCCGCGTTACACAACTTCTAGTTTATGAGGCGAATGTCAAGAAGAAATTTGCAGTGGTACTCTTGGACTTACCTAAAGCATTTGATACAGTTTGGCATGATGCTTTGCTTTATAAACTTTCTCTAATTGGGTTTCTGGTAATCTTCACTAAACTTTTAAAATCATACCTGTCGAATGGAAAAATTTTCATATTAATTAATGGAACCAACGCACCAAAATACGCAGTCTCTGTGGGAGTTTCGCGAGGATCCTTATTTAATATTTACATAAATGATTTATCTATTGGTATAAACTGCTCATTGGCACTTTATGCTAATGACGCAATCCTATTAACCTCTTTCTGGAACTATAAAATTTGGGTTGATAAATTACAGAAAAACTTGCATGAAATAATTAAATTCTTCAAACCACTGATACGTTAACACTTTGCTGACGTTAATCAAATTCCTTTTCCTCTTCTCCTGTTCAATTATGTTAGTTTGCTTTTAATTTGGTCCCATCTTAATCTCATGTTTCTTCTTTTAGTTTATGTAGGTAACACCATCCACACTTCAAGTTTTTCCTGGTAAATGGGACCAAAGCACATAGAAACAGGACTTCTTATTAAATGATTTCAGAAGGGGGAAAATGAATAGTTCACTTTTCTAAATGCGTTAAAACCATTTTGAGAAACGGCAAACATGTCGGCCCCATCTGTTAGCAAAAGAACTTCCGTCAGTGTAAAGGAGAAGCTGGAGATCATTGAAAAGTTAGGACAGGGTATTCCAGCAAGAGTACTTGCTGAGTCTCACAATTTACACGTGACTTCAGTCTGGAGAATGAAGAGGAAGAGAAAAGAGTTATATCGTGTTTTGGAGAGGGAAGGAGTTCAAGAGACAGAAGAAGTAAAGACACTGAAATACGATGAGTTGGAAACTCGGTTACAGAGTTGGTATGCGCAACGTACATTACTAGGTGGCCACATAAGCAACAGATTGCTCCGTGACAAGGCACTACAAATAAACCAGGAGATAGGAGGTGACTCCTCTTTTACAGCTAGCATTGGGTGGCTATCACGTTTTAAACAGCGGCGTCACATCCGACTAATTAATTTTCATAGGGAGAAATACGGTGCTGATAATAATGATGCCAAAACTTTTATTCGTCATTTACACAAAACTATACGTGATCTGGAAGTTAATCTCAATAATTTATATAATATGGATGAGACGGGACTACTATGGAAATACCTACCCTCAAAGATTGTGACTCTTGAACGTGAAAGAAGAGCCTATGAAGAAAAAATGAAGAAGGACAGAGTAACCGTGGGATTCTGTGCTAACGCTACTGGGACCCATAAGCTTCCTCTATTGTTTATTAATAAAGACGCGTCTCCAAGAGCGTTAAAGCATTGCAAGAATCGTCTACCAGTGGTGTTTAAAGCGCAACGAAATGCATGGCTGAATAAACAAATATTCGCAGATTGGTACCAAAACCACTTCAAACCTTCAGTGAATAAATACCAATTAGAAACTGGGACAAACGGTTCGGTTCTTCTAGTTGTGGACCATTGCAGATCTCATATATTACCCCCGGAGATAGTAAAAGATGGCAAGTTTTCTGTGCTCTTCCTGCCACCAAGTACAACATCTGTTATACAGCCTATGGAGCAAGGCATAATTGCAAATGTGAAAAGAAATTTCCGGCATAGATTGCTACAGCGGACTTTATATTTCCCTGACGGAGTCGATCACTTTTTCATCGACTATGATTTAAAAGATTGTATTAACTTTATCTACAACGCATGGATGAGCGTTACGCCGAAGAACATTAGAAATTCGTGGACTAAATTACTGCAGGATAATTCTGCATCCAGTACATCGACCGAGACGACTAATACAATAGAACAGATAGCTCGTACCCTCCATGGCATTATTGAGGCAATGCCGAGCAAGAATATTAATCTCGATGACATAGAAGATTGGCTCTTCACATGTGTGGAGATGGAAGAACGTATTGAAGCAATCGAGCGAGATGTGACAGAAGAAGAACGTCCCACGAAAGTAACGCAGACTACCCACAATATTTCTATTTTAGACGAAGAAGTGAAAAGAATGCTTGAACAAGTAATTTCGTGGTCAAAAAATGAATTAGAATCTGTACAAACAATAGCATTGAGCGTAAAAGATTATTATGATCACAAATAGTATATAATTACTGTATTATGTATTAACTTTGTAAAATCAGCTCTTCAAAGCTACCAGGCCACAGAGGGTTAAAGGCACCTGTGATAGACTTATACTGCGGACCGTTTTTCTTCTCAAAAATAAAGTGAGCTTTTTCAAAACTTTTGGAGGTGTTTATTCCATATTCATTATTCGGACAGTAAAAAAAATTTTAAGATTAAAAATGAATGCATTGGATGTTGTTATATTTATACATCTCTGTAGCGCCGCGCCGCTGAAGTGGTCAATTTGCGTACAACATAAAGGATTCAATTTTAACCTGAAACACAAAAGTCAAAATTTTCCTTAATTTACATAAAATTATATCGTCGATGAACTAAGAGAATCTGAAAAAAGTGGAAAAGTGAAACAGTGGTGGCTCTGTAAAGAAAAAATTACGATTTCGACATAAAAATATTGACTTATTTATGCAAATAAATTTGTATAATCTAATTTTTTTATAAATTTTCTTAGTTCGTCAACAATGGTTGAATATTACTTAACTAAAAAACCCTAAGAGAAGTTGATCGGACAAATAAATTTGTCTCTATTGTGTACGCAAACTTGAGAAACAAACTTGACCTACTGACACAGGTCTACAAGCTACAGGTGGATTTCCGAATTATAATTATTATTTTTTTAATTTAACGCAACCTATGACTTTTTCACGGCAATAAGTCTGCAAGTTCCGTACATTTTTCCTCTGGTTTCTTAAAGACAATTATTTGTAATCAGTATGACTGTAGCCTGTTACTGAACTACGGATTTTTATGTCAATAACGAACCACGATCACTGTTACATTACCTTTTCGTTAATACGTCATTTGAGAAGGAAATTTACAATTTAAAATAATTGTGTATTCGTCTTTTTACGTTACACATGATTTTCTTACATTTATGTTTCATTCATTCATCACTTTAAATGACAAACGAAGGATGATAAAAAGTTCGATTTGTTATGTTTTTCTTATTTGCTATTATACGCGGTTTCCTGGGATGCATGCCAACTTGCTTGTTCGGAGCGTCATAGTACAAGCGTAACATGTAGCCACCGCTAGCGCGGGAATTCGGCCGGTAAACTCGCGCTCTGATTGGTCCGGGGTTTTCGTTAATATCTCGTTAACAAAACCGCAGCTGACATTTTCGCTAAGGAAAAAGTGGTTTTAAATCACCCCAGCAACCCCTCATTTCCCAGAAGAGAGACACTTTTGAGACACCCTGTATACCAGATGAAAAGCATGATGAGTTGTACTATAAAGTATAAAGACCGCTCAGATGCTGACGCGCGCTGTGTGTATCGCAGTCCGTTTTACACTGACTAATCGTAAGCACTAATGCCAGAATCGTGAGATTTTTGCGCAAGCGCTTACCCTCTCCATGCCTCCCATGGGTATTTTACAGAAGCATATTCTAGCCTGTCCGTGAGCTCTGCCCCCACTACGTCCTACTCGGCGACTCACCAACACAAGCGTTTTCTACCTCTGCCCGTGTGCGCTCTGCTTCAGGTGTTTTCGGCAAAAGTCTACGTCACGCGTTTACGACGCGACGGCCGAGTGGTTCAAGCCAGGTCAAAATCCCGTATCCCAAGCAATCTAAACGCCGAGAGTCGAGAGCAGCATGAATTTTCTAACGCCCTCATGACGAGGACCCCGTCCATAACCCCGTTCGAATCCCGATGCGACGCTTTTACTTTTTATTTTTAATTATTGTGTAATTTTAGATTGTAATTTGCCAGTAAAATAAAAGGTTCAAAAATATTAATTTAAGAAGCATTTTACAAAAATGGGAGATGTATTTATTACTCTTTAATATTTAAATTTTATATTACACAAATACATATTCTCTTATATATACTATAGGCAAATTATTCTTACAATTAGATGTTGGTGATGTCGGTGAGGAACAATTCGTCACCAACTGTTCCCACCGGTCGAAGAGCGAAATTCGAAGCATACACAAGATTAGGTGCTCAAAACACTCGACTTGCATGCTGTATCTTAACGTCAGATAATATGAGATGCGGTAATTCGTTGCAGTCTGGTTTCATTTATTATAGGTGCGAGTGTAATAGCATAATAATTCCAAAAAGTCTATCTAGGTCACGTCTGGCTTCTGTACGCGTGCAATAGCATGAGAACTTTCCGTTGGAGCCGGATTTGGACTGAGATATGTACGAGTACAATACCATTATCAACGACATTTCCGTTGGATCCGTGGTCCAGAATCGGCCTAGTATAACTACTAATCTATTTCCATGAAAACATCTCTTTGATGATCTCGATGAACATTTGCACTCATCACTGTGCCTCTTTGGGTACATTTTAAGCACGTCTACACAAACCGAAAATCGGAGTTCGACTGACCCTTTGCAATTACCGCCTCGAAACAGGGTACTCTCTCCGAAAGTCCCTTTGTACGTAGAATATGTCCCTAGTTAGGATTTCCTACTCATAAAAATTGCCTCGTATCTATTTTGAAAAAAATCTGCCGAGCCAGACACCCTGTGTGAGGGTCGTAAGACGAAGCAGGACCGCGCGCTCGCTGCGCGTCCGTATAACGTGATGCGAACCTGTTCCGTGGGCTGTATCTACTATTTCAAATTTCGCTCTATAACCTAATGAGTATATTTTCGATGAGTATTACTATTGATTTATGCCAAAAAAACAATGGAAAATTTTTACTTTGTAAACCAAGTTTCCCCCTTAAAATGGCTACAAGTCGCGGGTTATGATGGTGTAGGTATTGCCCTACCGTCCCCTGTGTGGCGGGGGACAGAATACGCCCACGGTAATCCCTGCCTGTCGTAAGAGGCGACTAAAAGGGACTGTTGGGACCGCGGGACTGTGGCCCCCGCGGTTCGGTGGGGGGGGGAGCTCCGCTTCCCCCACCACAGAGAGGGCGCTCCGCCGTCCACTGGCGGAGCGGGCGCTGGGGAGGTACCGGTCGTGTTCGCAAGAGATCCCGGTGCCTCCCCGCACAGCGCCGAGCCCGGCCACCGTGAGGTTTTAGTGGGTATCCCTCCCGGACATCCAGTCCGGGGGGTGAGTCCCACACTACCCCCGCCCCCTCCCCGTCGGGGGTTGCGGGGGTGTGCGTAACGCATTTCCCCACAAAAAAAAAAAAAAAAAAAGGTATTGCCCTACCAGCAATGCGACAGTAGCGACAGTGGCGGGAGTTCCCCATTCGAGTTCCGACAGTCGTCTTGGACGATAGCGTGTGTTACGTAAACCGCTGTGATACGCACGTGTGTGCAGATATAAAATAAATACTATTTAGTTTACACCACGCTGATAGTTAAACTCGTCATTTCACCACCCTCGTCTCGGGCACGAAGGAAAAGCTTCAAATTAAGAACACGGCAGAAGTAGGACTGCCCTCGGGTCGAATGACCCCCAGTCCATCCTACAGCCATGTAACGTTGATGGACGCTCGGGATATTATGTCCCAGCTACTGTAGCACGGAGGATAATTAATGATGCCACGTGTATAGAATAAAGACTTTATTAGAGACGAGCACGTAAACGTGCTGCAGCGACAGTAGCAAGATGATTCTGCCGCACGCATGCGGCAACGCGATGCACACGCCTCTTTCTCCATGCGGGAGAACGAGACACTACAGAGGGAGAGAGACGGCAATATCCGCTCCCTTCAGCCATGTAGGGTTATTTAGTTCCACGGATTATTATGGAACTAGGATGCAGCCTACTCTGTACTGAACCACTGGGAGACTTTGTAATGAATTTCTACACCCGTTTATAACCTAACAACTTTATTCCATTCTCTATTGAGAACGCTAGCTCGAGACGTGTGTCTCGGTCGAGAGTTAGGCGGCGAGAGAGTCCTCTTACAATATAGCGGTTCTCTCTCCACGTTGCCCGAGGTTGGCCCTGCCAATCTCGTCGGAGCGAATTCCCTAGGCGCGTGCCTAGGGGAATGGCGCGGCAGCGCCAATCTCCCTACAGCCACTGCTGCTGTCCTGACATCTATTGGGTAATCGTCAATTGTCCCTTTACCATGGGCGTGTTACCACAGACGAGATATAAAAATAGACCTAACATGCAATGTAATTTTCTGTCCCATGCTTCGAGGGCGTCAGAAGCCCTGTTACCATTTTAGTGTCAATACCCGACGTTACCGATAAAGCATGAATTCTGAGTATTGTCACCGACTAGGTATAGAATAGACCTATCAGTCAATGCTTTTTTCTGTCCCACGTTCATAGGGCTACGTAGCCCTGTTACCATTTTAGTGTCAATACCCGACGTTACCGATAAAGCATGAATAGTGAGTATTATTAGCACAAATGAAGTGTTATATATTCCATTCATATTACGTGTATCTATATGATTTCACGAGAATAAAAGTATCCGATGCTTCAGTTTAAGGTTAGGGGATAAATATGACAGTCATGAAACATGAAACGGAAAAGTATATATTTTTTCACTTAACTACAAGACAATTTATTCTAAATGCATCGTTAATGGACATTTTACTAATGTCACTTTTTACATGTTCTTGTTTTATTTAAGAGAAGTTTTAGACAATGATATAAATGGAACTTTAAAACTTTTTTAAGTGTTACAGTGATATTTCGTTATATGTTCCATAATGTCAATAATATTGATTTCCTTGCAACATCCATAATTATTGTAAATGTCAATATAACGAAGTATCTTTTATGCGATGTTTGTGGTGTAATAAAAATCTGTGTTTCGATTACGTTTTTGATACGTATTACTCACTTATATGTAATAATATAGAATAAAAATATACTGTTAGTCCGATATTTGACAATATACATGCGTTTTAATAACAATGGAATAATAAAATAATCTACTCAAATGTACATAATAATACATATACATATTTATAAAAACAATATTAAACGCAATAACTTTTTTGTACGCGAGGAAAAACCAATAGGTCCGTCGGGACTGTAACCCAAAACTCCTTTCTATATAATACGTCTACTTTACAGCGAACGGACGGAACAGAATCCGTTCACGACCATGGTCCCTTCGATGATTTTCCGAAGTACCGAACACTCATGATCTGACAACATTGCGTACTTTAGACTCGACAACACTCTAGAAGTTAGACTAGTTGATCTCGAATGGGTTTAACGTAGTTCACAAATTCACCGTTCTCACAACGTAGAGGGCAGCAGGAAATCCCTGACTTTTTACACTATCGGTATTTCAGAACATGAGACACGAAGTCCCATAAGATGATAGGTCTATCCTATACCTAGTCGGTGGTGTTACGTCCCGCGTTGCGGTCGTTACCTTATTTATAATTTCTGGTCCTGGCTCTTTTAAGGTGGTAAAGCTCGCCCTGTTTAAACTTACCGGTGAAGTACGCAGTTTGGATAGGGAACGGGAGGGATAGGAAATCACTCTCGTTTATGATAATAACAAAGATATATTGTAACAATCCGATAAATAAAAGATACAAATAAGTCTTAACATACCAATAATGATGAGGATGAAGTCGCTTTTGGTTGGTTCGGTCGGAACTTCGGATCCTTGAAAGGGCGGAAGACTCGCTGGCGCTCGGAGCCGTAATACAGGGTTTAGGCACTGCGGGATACGTTGTCGTCGTCTCGGACATTGTACTCCGCGGTCCGGTGTCTTATAAAGCTCGTCTGTAGGCCGCGCGTCATCGCGAGGTCGCGTCGCACAAGGAAGAGATATCGTCGCGGAACCCGAAACTGAACAGCTGAGTGACCGTTATCGCTCAGCTCGCGGTCGAGTGTTTAGAGATTGGAGTGAAGAGCGAAAGAACAAGACGTAGAAGATTGACACACGAGCCGAATTTGTCACGGAGTGAACAAGAGCCGGAATACTAAGAGAAACGTCCTACTAAGAGAGCCGTGGTACTAAGAGAGCTTCCCCGGTTTTGAACAATCCTTTTATAAGTTCTTCCCTCCTTACTTTTGTTAGAAAACGTGCAAGATACGGGGTAGCAACAGGCTATGACTCATGATGGTCGCCGAAGCGGAGTTTTAGAATCGCTGACGTTTCTGTCAGCGTCTCGAAGAAGAGCGACCACGCCCGTTGCTTCCACGTGTCGCTGAATTAACGGTTTTCGCTCGTTCTTCGCGTTTGAAAGTAATATGATAAAAATGTGCAATGAAACGAGGTTCTGAGAATACAGGATATAACAGGCGTGATGTACCAGCCGCTGTTGGTTCTACCGGTTCTTCCTATGCGTTGTTTAGAGGTAGAATGACCTATCCTCCTACGCTGCAACGTTTAGTTATAAATCAGACCTTCACTGTTTGAACATAATATGGTTTTTGATTTCATTTCTTCCATGAATGAGAGGACCAGAATTCCAGGAACCGCACAGGAATCGGTGACCAGTTACCCGAGCTCTTTCCCCACCACTCGGCCGTGTAGTCGTGCGACGCTGCTACATATAGGGTGGGCTTGGACATGCGCACTTTAAGGTTACATTAATTATCTCCGTTATTTTTAGAGATATCAGAAAAATTTATTTACAGAAGTTGTTCAGTATGAAGAGGGCTATTACTTAACAGTAACAAGTTTTTCGTAGGTTGAGTATTTTCTAAAGTTTCAAAGCTAATTATGTTATTTTTATTAATGATATTGAAATATTATATTTTTCCAGGGAATACAATACTTTTATTACATAAATCGATTCTTCCAAACATTCTACGTAATTAAGTATTAATGTATTATGTGAAAAAGGTAATAATTCGTGACATATTTTTGTGGCAAATGTCTAGCTCGGTTAGCATCTTTTACCCATTACGTGTGATTCGCGAGACAAGAAGCAATCAAATTGCCGTCAATATTCATTCCACCAATATTCATTGCACCAATAAAAACATTATTAAAACAGTATTATATACACTGCGCCTTCCGTGTTGAGATATGCGAGTTAAACGCGACACCGTATGTGTTTCGGCCTGGGCGTGCTGGGCGACAGAGTAGGGTACGCGCACGTGTGTGAGAAATACGTGTGAGCAAGGGGCGTGGCTTCCGTGCAGATAACGGTGGCGCGGGAAACGAATGTCTACTGTATAGTAACTGCCTGACCAACGACATCGGTGCAAAAGCACTAGCAGTGGTCACCCAATTCACTTACGTTAAATTCTGTGCCACCATGAATAGAAATCATTTGTCGATCGCTCATTCGATAATGACGACTGCAGTAGGATGAGAGCGATTCACATTCCATGCAGCTGGATAGGAAGAAAACAACACGTCCACTACTGATAACGCTGATCAGTACACAAAATCCGTGCTTGTAACCTTCCAATCTATCTCTAGAATCTTCATGGTTTTACCCGACCACGTATTCCACTCTGTTGAAACTCCTGATATAACAAGTCTAGCAGCTGTCATATGCTACTATATGCAGATTTGGCAGCAGTATTGTCGCGAATCAAGCCAAGCGTGTAAAGGAAGGTGTGGAAACATCGACCTTAGGCCGCCATCAACCTTGACAGGGAGTCTAACTCCCGGACAATGAAGGTTAAACAGCGTGCACGGTGAGACCAAAAAAGGTCGATCCAGGGCCGCCAGGCTACGGGAAGCGTCACAAGACGGGCTAAGCGCGGAAACAAAAGGAATACATGGAATTTCCCATGATTCGATAAAAGGCTTGGTTACAATAGATCAACCGCTCTGGCTTTTCCGACGTTCCCCTCAGGTAATTGGCTGGGGGGTCGCATGGAGCGGTTGCCTGCGAGCCAAGTAATATCGTGACCCAACGCAGGTAGGTCACGGTCGTAGCGATCATTACGACTTGGACCGAAAATACGGTCGACATACCGTCATAAACGTGAATTCTAGACAGCCGCACATCACCGGCAAAACAATCGCTGTCTTAAGGCCGTTAAATTATTATAAATCGACGCAGACTTCCAAGAATCCCAGAAACAATGCTACTACCTCTACCACCGCACCTACCAACCAAACGTATGCGATTCCCACCAATCACAAATCAATTCATGGCAATGACCGTCTACGCGTACAGCGGCGAAGACAGTTCGCCTGCAGTGACAGAGGAGTGTGGTCGAGTGAATCTAGCTATCACTACCGTACTAGATCCTCATATCGTTGAGAAACGCATATATTACATTATCAAATGTGTGCTTGTAGTACAAGGTTCCCCAATAATCTTTCCACTTTAAAACTTGATCAACTCCTTTATGCACCACCTCTTACACCAACTCTTGTCGTTCACTTGTATTTCTAGGTGCCATGCTAGATCCTGCTATCAAACTATATACAGTAGACTCTAACTATATTGCCATTTTCGAGGCCGTAGGAGAGTAAAATAGCAATGAATTCAGAGTCCCCTCCATGCTAAGTTCTGTCGTCATGGCCTCGGCCTCAGCGCCTGCGCAAAAGCTGGATCCTGCTGGTGCGCCGGCGTACGCAACATGGTAGGAGAGCGAATTTATGTGCGAGAAAGTACGTGTGAAGGGGAAGTGCCTCATGTAGCAATGTGTTCAGGGGCAATATAGTTAGAGTCTACTGTACATCCCTTAACACAATCTAAAACAAGTGTATCTGACGTAATCAGTTTCCAGTTATTTAAAACGGTGCAACGTACGTTTATTTAAACTTCATCTTGTAGTAGGTATCCTTGATACTGAGCCCTGTTGTGAGTGGCTGCTTTGTTCTGAAGAGCAATCGTTTGGCCTGTCCTGATGGGTACCGGTATTCTTGATGTAAGCCTGACTGGTTGGGAAATGACCTTTTTCCCAGCAGGCTGTGAGGGTTTAAAGGTTGTCTGGATATTGAAGCTGATCCTTGAAATTTGTACGATGTCTGTTTCTTAATGCTGATCACTATTTTCTCCATTACTTTGGCCTCCTTGATTTTCTCCGCCAAGTTTTTCCCAAATAAAAACTCATCTGATTTTGTATCTTCGAGTACAGTTCTAGTCTCCCTATCCACACCTACCACGATGAATGCTTTCCTTGATTCGGTTTGGCTATACATGATTTCTGTGATAAGCTTACCAGCATCTTGTAATCTACTCATAAACTGCACTTTGTCAATGCTCTCTGTTTCCTCAATTACATAACGATGTTATTACCGACCCAACAGCTGCTAACGCAGAGCTTGCTAAGTGTGCTTACTGCACAAAAGGTTAATTTTTTAACAAATTACAAATTTTTTTCAAAAGTCCGCCTTTTGTTATATTTTTGAATATTTCATATTAAGTTGTTGGTCATGTATAGCTTATAAGTCTGCTTTAAATAAATTTTTTTTAAATTTCTTATAATTTTAATATCCAATAAAAAGTTCTGAAAGTTTCAAAATTATTCGTTTAATAATTTTCTTTTAATAAATTTCCAAAAATACCTTTACTTTTCGGATCATTATTCTTTTGTCACCACTTATAAAGAAAAAAAAATATGTGACGTTTTAATCTGAAATGACATTTTTAACTGTTAATTTGAATTGTAAACGGAGTTTCATACTAGAAGAAGTTTCTTAAAACAATTAATTTTGTACTCCTCATATAATAGTATCTATGAAACTATTGTTTTTCTGAAGTACATATAAATGAATAACAAATATAAAGTAACACAGAGACTTTTAATTTTTTCCCTTTCTATTCCCCGATACCGAATTAAACGTAAATGGGGTCTCATATTCGGTGTTGCTAATATTTGTCAAAATATTTTTATATTTTGTAAGTGGCAAATGCTTCATAATTCATTTGTAGTTCATAAAATACAGACGTAATAATAAAAAAAAGTTAATAACAAAGAAATAAATCCTTTTTTATGCATCTGTCTACGATTATGTACAATAAACAAATTCAAGTTTTTTATCGATAGAAGTTATAAGCATTGTAGTTCAAGCGTTTCTCGCTAGAGTATGATTTTGATAGACTTGTTTTTCAAAAGATGGCTCGTTAGCGCGGCAACGCCTCTTCTCGGCCCAATTCTCTGATCATCGACCATTCACTGATGTTCGACCACACATCGAGATTTCAAATGTTATACCACACAACGCTATCGGCATGTCACGGTTAATTTGTTTCTTTGGCGAAAAAGCTACACAGTGTGATATGTTGAGATTGACGTGTAATACAAAATTTCTGTTAACGAAAATGGCTGTTCGCTAATTTTGTTGTGTATATATACATATATATATATTAATATACGGTGAAAATTATACTAAACACGTAAATAACCTAACGTATTATCGATCGTGTAAAACGCGCGTAAACATGCCGCGTACCAAAGCATCACCTAAAAAGTGCGTTAAAACCACTAATTCATATCCAGGAACAAATACATGGGTTTTTTTGATGAAAGGTGTTTAAATTAACCAAATCATTTCTTATTTCAAATTGTATTATATTATTGTGCTTGATTTGTTAATCACATATTTACCGGTATTTTATAAACTTCTATAATACTTATCAGTATTTCTGCTTAATTTAGTACGTTTAACGCATTGTCTTTTCTACAGATTTATTTAAATTATTTTAGGTGATAGCTTGAGTAATACAGATGGAGGTATACCTGATGTGATTAAATTGAAACATCCAGCTACAAATCAACCCGCAATGTTTGTATTTAGTCCAGGCAACACAACAGTGCAAGAAGTTTTAACATTTGATGAAAATAAAAGATCGTGGTTTATAGATGATAATGTTAAGTCTGATGGGAAAATGCACTTATCTACCCCTATTGATCCAATATTTTTAGTGATACCATATTTACGAAAGGTAAATGTACAAATTTTCAATATATGTGTTATTCTGTTAACATAGTATGATTAATTAGTCTATTTCACAATATTGAAACAAAGTTGACTAAATAATCATAAATATTAATAAATCTAAATGTTACTTGCATAGTCTCAACATGTACAACCATTAGATCAGTGTCTATGGGATGAAGACTTTCCTGAGACGCCTCGTCTAGCTCAATGTCAGAACTTAAAGTTGACATTAATTGCTGATCGTAAAGGAGATGAATCATTGCAAGCCTATAAATTTAATGAAGAGAAAACATTAACTTGGCTGCAAAAGAAAGTCGAAAGAGTAGTTGCTGTATTAAAGCAAAAGGGTATCCATGTATCGCAAGGTGCTATTAGTGCTACATACGTCACAAGTATTAAACATGACAGTGCTTCAGATGGAGGTATGAAGTGATATACATATGTTTGAAACTAAATCACATATAATACATATCATAATTAATTGTATCCAATATACATAATATATTTATTTTTTATACAGAATATTTAAAGTATGCACATGGTATAGTATCGGAATATCTCTCAGAAGATTTGTCAAAGAAGTTAGCACAGCATTTACATGTAACGGATGAAACAGAAAGTAAGAAACGAAAGTTAAGTAGTCCTAATGATAGTACTGATGAAAAGAGGCCTAAGAAAGAAGTAGCTGAAAGTGAATCAATATTAAAACCGAAAGCTCCTCCTGATTTGCCTAAACCGGAAAAGGTTCGTCTTGTAGTCATGAAGTGTATCCACATTATGTACCTGTATACATTTCTATAATATTTCTTTTGTCTAGATTCAAAAATCTACTGTTGGTAAAAAGGAATTAGCCAGGCAAAAAGCAGCAGCTGGATCTAAAAGTATTACTAGTTTCTTCAAGAAGAAATAAAATTTAAACCATCATAAGAAGCAAAAGTATTACAAATTAAAAATTTTGAGTACTATAATGTATATATCATTTATAATACCGATCTTAACAATTGTTATTCAAAAATCGAATCAAACTACTTTGTAAAAGCTTAAACACATGTCTAATCGTTGTTTACACAATAGGGGAAACGATTCTTTTATATTTTATTAGTAGATATTTTTATATTACAATTTCTCTACGCTTAAAAGCAAAAGGCATTTATTTTAAATAATTATTGTATTTAAATTTTACTTAGATATAAAATATACTAAAATCTTAAAGATTTACAAATACTTAAACATATGTCAATTTACCAATTCGTTCCTTGATATTAAAATTGCAGTATTTATAGTGTTATAAGAGCTATTTATTTTGGAGGTGGTATAAGTCTAATGCAAAAATAAACTAATAACTAAAACTGTAGTATCGTCGATTTTTCTGAAGTTGAATGTATACCATTTCTAAAATAAGTGGTTCAATTTGTTTTCAATAAACTACTTTAAAAAGTGAAGGCTGTTACCTTTCTTTGTATTTAACATACATAACTATGTTAAGTATTGAAAAGAAAACTATACTGGACTGTTTCTAACAAAGATTATATGGTCATAATTTACTAGTCTGTGGAGCTTATGAATTTCTAGAATATTTGAGTATATAGAACACAATGAAATAAAAAAGTAAAAAATGTTTCATAAACCAGTAATACTGGGTTTCGTTTAGTAAAACCTTTATACAATAAATAAATTTTTGGTTACTTCTTGTTTTTGAAGACGTAAATGAATCCGTAGTCTAGTCACACACATCGAGGATTGCAATCTTGGCCTCAGTTAAAAAACAATAGTTAAATATTATTTCGAACGCGATTATAATTTTAGCTTCAACTATTGAGTATGTAAGAAACAACAATTAAGAATATGTAGACATTTAGAAAATTCAAGTGGGCTATCTTATAATTCTCTGCAATGCATATAATTGTAGGTTTTTGCACTGATATTAAACACAAATCTGTTTACAAAATTATTAATACATTTACTGTCTTTGCTCATCTGCGCAAATGTTAAAAACATTGATTCATAATTGGCAAACTTTTATTGCTTATATACATATATATGTATTAAATTAGTAGTTATGAGTGAAGACATCAATTTTATAAATTACTTTAATGTAATAATAAGAAATCATTTAACTTACTTTACATCTAGTCATAAAAGAAATTTTAGCACATGAAGGAAAAGGAAAATATTTGAATGAATACACATTCGGAACATATCTTTTTTTTTTAAATAAGTTCATGTCTTCATAATATCGGAAATAATTATTAAAATCAATCGCTCCAGTACATGATAAATCTATAATGTATTGAATTTAACTGTGTTAAGCAAAATATTTTCTTTCTGCTGAACACATCATTACTTAATATTTTATTTCAACCTTATGTTACACAAGAAATATTTTGATGACTATTGATCTTCAAGAAAAAACTTTACATATCTTTCTTTGTACAATTAATTTTTTATTCCATAATATTTGAATGAAATGAAATGATAGTTATCCATAAGTAAGTATATCTTGTGTATTCTAACATTTGTTATTTTCGTATGAATGTACCATATCAACAAATTTATAAAAATTTTCTCTTTATGTTTTAATTTACAAACTTTAAAATATAAAAACATTGAACTCTTAACAAACCATTGGTTCTGATTTAGGTTCTGTAACTTCTGAGTCCCTACATTTAGCATGTTGTAATTCTCTTCGTATTTCATTTGTAATTGTATGATGACATTGCTTTTTCAATAATTCGAGCAATGCATCTTTTTGTTCTGAGCTAATATCACTTTTATAACGTTGCACAAACGTTAATAATGCCTGATGCCATAAAACTGGTAAATCTCTAGGATCTCTTTCAAATCTGAAAGTATATATTATCTTTAGATTATAACAGTAATTAAAAGGACTATAATAAGTTGTAGTAATCTATTCTTACCTTAGAAAATGAAATACAACACCGTCTACGACTCTGTATGGAAGTGCATATTTTTTGTCTACAAATATTCTAAGGAAAATACTATTTGCACCTGTGTAATCCATTTCTGCAATTTTTAATATAGCTGCAGAAGAATGTAAGATTGGTATTGAATTCTTAGCAATAACAGATCCAATAATAACAGCTTCTCTTAATGTACAAGTTCCAGATTCTAATAGAGGAAGTAAAACTCCTTTCATAAAACCAGCAGGCTTAAATAACGCTTTCCGTAATGCTTGATATAAATGAAAATTTAATCTTTTGTATTCTGCCAAGTCATCTCTAATTCGAGGTAACAATACTAAATTATAAAACCTTTGTGCCATTTTTTCTTTAAGATTAGAAGCAAATATCCGAGTAGCTTGGTACATTGCAGCTGCTGACCATTTAGGTGGATTTGTAATGTATAATATTTGTTCCCAATTCCTTAAACTAGGAATAATTTTAAACGCTTTAGGTAATTTTCCACTGCGATATTTTGCTAAAACATCTCTAACGCCTTCGTACATTGCTTTTACTCGAGGATCCAGCTCTTGCATTTGCATAGAACCTGCATCTGAAAATTGAGTTTGAATTTCTGTTTTCTTTTCAGTCAACTTTTCTAATATTATGTCAGCCAATGTTTTCATAGGTACAGGATCTTTAGACATGAACATTTGTATAGCTCTTTCATCTTCTTGGTTAATTTCAATGTTTTCATAATATTGTGAATTATTGCAATCATCTTCGCTAGAATCTTCTTCTGTATCACTGAAGTTTGCTCCAAGTTTTACTATTGGCTTTCTCATACATTCTTCTGATGTTTGTTTTACTCCATTTTCTTCTTCAATTTCAATCTGTTGTTGTCTAGCTTGTGACAAAATTCTTTTTGTAAGAGACGAATCCACGAACTATAAACATTAATATAAAATACATGTTAATTTAAAAAATTTTACTAATAGAATTTAAATTGTAGTTAATAAGCTGATGTTAATTGTAATCAACAAATTGATGTTAACTGCAGTCAACAAGTTGAAGTAATGTATGTAATAATACCATACGTTACTAATTTTTTAATGCAAGTAAACTTTAAAAATATAACCTCTTCATCATTGTCCTTGCGAATTCTGATCTTATGTCTATTTTTTGATTTCACTATTTTCTCCTCTGCTATTTGGTCTTCCAAAGCCACTTTTGATTGTTTCGTTTCACCTTTGGAAACTCTTATTTTCTTCGCTTTTCCCATCTTATTACTTCAACAATTGAAAAATTACGAGAAACATGTGATCATATGTAGCCATATACATATGTCTATCCCTATGGCCTATGGTAATAACTGGTAATAATATCGACAAGGTATGTATAAGAGTAGACTTTTCATCTATGGGAGTTCATGGCCCACCTAAACTGTAATACCGACACCTCAAAAAAGTCTGTGATTTTAGTGACCTCTACGTTATGTGAACGGTGAATCTGCGGTGGGTCGTGACACTAAAATGGAAATCGGACAACGTCGCTCCAGAAAAGTGGGCTGAAAAAATACATTGGATGAAATGTCTATTCCTCTATCTCGTCTGTGGTGACACAGATGAAGATTTTTAAAATTTTAGTAAGTATTGTCACCGACTAGGTATAGGATAGACCTATCATCTTATGGGTATAAATACCGATAGTGTAAAAAGTCAGGGATTTTCTGCTGCCCTCTACGTTATGAGAACGGTGAATTTGTGAACTCCGTTAAATCTAAGAAAGGACCATGGTCGTGAACGGATTCTCTTCCGTCCGTTCGCTATAAAGTAGACGTATTAGAAAGGAGTCTTCGGTTTGAATCCCGGCGGACCTATATTAGTTTTTCTTCGCGTACAAAAAAGTTATTGCGTTTAATATTGTTTTTATGGATATGTATATGTATTATTATGTACATTTGAGTAAATTATTTTATTATTCCATTGTAATTACAACAGTTTAACAGTGACAACGAACGCTATTATTGACATTATGGAACATATAACGAAATATCACCGTAACACTTAAAAAAGTTTTAAAGTTCCATTTATATCATTGTCCTGTGAAAATGTTCATACTTCCAGCAACATTCATATTCCAATCAAAGAATTTACAGAATAAGGAAAGGAATCTAAAGTAATTTTCATATTACGTGTATATATATGCTTTCACGAGAATAAAAATATCCGATGCTTCAGTTTAAGGTTAACGGATAAATATGACAGTCATGAAACATGAAACGGAAAAGTATATATTTTTTCACTTAACTACAAGACAATTTATTCTAAATGCATCGTTAATGGACATTTTTATTAATGTTGCTTTTTACATGTTCTTGTTTTATTCGTTTTTATATCTTGCCTTACATTTGTATATTTGTAACAGATAAATTCAGAATAGACGTAGTTTCATAAATCGTTTATCAAATCTATATGCGGGAGAATATATACACCACTTTTATTAACATTTACATATTTATAATTTATATGGGAGTATAAATATTTTTACTGCCTATTGTAAGAATTTTAATACGCACGAACAATTACTTTCTGGCAATTGGTAAATTTTTACATATGAATTTACTTACACGTTATTTACTTCCAAAAATTTTATTTATTGCGAGTAATTAAATAATGAACGTATGTTAATATTCAGCTACGTGTCTCTCAAATTAAGTGAAATACAGAAGTTTTATTTTCTTGAAAATTAGTGTCAAAGAATGCAGCAACTGGTCAGATTAGTTTCGTAAATAAATCGAAACCCTGTATCGGCACATAAAAGTTATTATTAATTCATGTTGCTCGTTGATTCTCTACACAGACTTGGGGTACGGACAGTGGGTCTGTACCTATGGTACGGGCAGTGGGTCTGTACACTAAGATTGTTTGCCGATCCCTCTGGTTTCTATTGAGAAGCCAGATATCGGACGTGTTTAGTCTTTGCCTGGTAAGTAGGATTTGGAGTAAAGACTCGTGTGTGCAAGGGTACGGAGTAGTCGGGAGGCTGCTGCGTAATCAGAGAATCTCGCTTGCACTACCATGCTTGTGTACTCTTTTGGTTCGGGTCTGGTACGCAGGTGACCAGCCCAAAGCTCCATGACAGTAAAAGATGGATCCGGGTTAGCGAGGTGTCGCCCGTCTTTCCTATTTTCTTAAACCAGGTTCTGGCGACAACACTTGCATCGCGATACTTGTTCATACTGTAGTTTAACGTGGTTCATCGTAGACTTAATAACTGTTTGGTATATAGAATATTAGGTGCGTAAACGAAATGATCGATGGAACTTTTTCCATTCCGTCTATCTCTTTCGTTTGAGTATTAGCGACTACGTTGCGTTTAGTTTAAGTTATTTTGTATTAATAGCATTAATTCGTATTAATTAGAATATTAAGATAATATTAGTTCTAAGCTGAAGAACGAAGACAACCGACGAGGGAACTTAGTTTTTTATAGGTTTAGGCTCAAGAAAGAAGTCATCTGCCGAGGGATTTTAGTACAGATAGTATTACATAGTTAAGATTTAAGTTATTTATAAGGTTTATTGTGAAAGGTGGGAAGATGTAGAACTTGTGATTCCATCTACCTGCCTTGGGCCTCCACTCGCAGCAACCTCCTCGTGGTGAGGCCTGGGCAATCGGTATTATCATCGGTAAAGTACTGTAAACTGATGACAATATCGAGCTAATGGCTGCGAACTTCGAATCTATCTCATAAAACCACGTTCTATATTATATCGAACTAGGATTATTTTAGAAATCGATATGAGATTCAAAGTGTAAAAATGTCTAGTACTTTGAATGTTTTAGAAAAGTATTCGAGATAAAGATGTATGGAACTACTGAAAATTACTTTAGATTCCTTTTCCTTATTCTGTAAATTCTTTGATTGGAATATGAATGTTGCTGGAAGTATGAACATTTTCACAGGACAATGATATAAATGGAACTTTAAAACTTTTTTAAGTGTTACGGTGATATTTCGTTATATGTTCCATAATGTCAATAATATTGATTTCCTTGCAACATCCATAATTATTGCAAATGTCAATATAACGAAGTATCTTTTATGCGATGTTTTTGGTGTAATAAAAATCTGTGTTTCGATTACGTTTTTGATACGTATTACTCACTTATATGTAATAATATAGAATAAAAATATACTATTAGTCCGATATTTGAAAATATGCATGCGTTCGTTGTCACTGTTAAACTGTTGTAATAACAATGGAATAATAAAATAATTTACTCAAATGTACATAATAATACATATACATATCCATAAAAACAATATTAAACGCAATAACTTTTTTGTACGCGAAGAAAAACTAATATAGGTCCGCCGGGATTCAAACCGAAGACTCCTTTCTAATACGTCTACTTTATAGCGAACGGACGGAAGAAAATCCATTCACGACCATGGTCCCTTCTTAGATTTAACGTAGTTCACAAATTCACCGTTCTCATAACGTAGAGGGCAGCAGAAAATCCCTGACATTTTACACTATCGGTATTTCAGAACATGAGACACGAAGTCCCATAAGATGATAGGTCTATCCTATACCTAGTCGGTGGTACAATGTAGTAAACATCCGGTTTGGTTTAGGCGGGAAGAATGCATCGAGAACTATAAAGTCACGTTTGACTGGTTTGACAGTATCACAGCAGTGCACAGTGATTTGATTGTCTCAGGAGAGAAGAGGAACGAATTAAGTTTGAAAATAATTTTAAGAATAAATTTCTAATAATGGCACCAAAAATATCAAAGGATTATACGGAGGTGAAAGGTGGGTATTATACACATTATTGTAATAAGTATTTAGTCAATTATTGAATTTTATATTATAGTTCAAATGTTTATAAAATATTACTAAATATTTATTTGCCAGAACAACTGAAAACTTTTTTAACGGAGTTTATAGTAATGGATAGTACAACTGGTGAAAAAAATTTCAAATATAAGAAACAACTGATTAATATAGCACACCGTGACCAAATAGAACTTACAATAGATTTAGACGATGTTCATGAATTTGATGATGAACTAGCAGAATCTATTACACAAAATACTCGAAGATACATTAATTTACTTTTAGAAGTGAGTATATATTTTTCACGTTATTATTTTATATGTACTTAATTAAACATCTAAAGTAGTGTAAGGTACATCTTCATTTTCCACAATGAATGGGAAAAATATTTTTATATATACATAGCTTATTCAAGAGATGTTACCTGATCTCACTACAAGACCTGTACCACCAAAAGATGCATTAGATGTGTATATTGAACATAGACTGTTGATGGAAAGCCGTAATAAACACCTTGGTGAATCACGTGATGCAAGAAATAAATATGCACCAGAACTTATGAGACGCTTGTATTATTAACATTTATTTCTTGTATTATTAAAATTTCATTTTTATTGTAATGGGTATAACTGACTCATTATTTATCATTTTATGTGTACTACAGTGAAGTGTACTTCAAAGACTTTGATGCAGCAAAGACTTATGCAGTGAGAGATATTAAAGCAGATAAAATAGGAAAATTAGTTACAGTACGGGGTATAGTAACACGATCTAGTGACGTAATGCCATTGCTTGTTGTTGCTACATATACATGTGATCAATGTGGTGCTGAAACATTTCAACCAGTAAGAAATTAATAATATTTCGGTCTATAGTATTAACCCTTGCAGGGCAGTGCCTGGGTTCAATTGACCCAAGTTTTTACAGCTCCATATAACACGTCAACGTAGAAATTGAAATGAGCGAGCTAAAAGTTGTTCATATTGGCTATATAAAAAAAGCAGGTCTTTTTGAATGATTGTGTACAAAAATATCTTTAAATGGTAGGAAGCATAGGATCCAAATGGACCCAGACACCACTGCAGTACGGACATTAAAAAGCATCTGCCTTCCGAGGGTTAAATAAAGGGTCATTACAATTACGATTTTCAGGTACAATCTCTTAAATATATGCCACTACGAACATGTCCCAGTGATGATTGTCGTATAAATAAATCTGGTGGTGTACTGGATATGCAAACAAGAGGATCAAAATTTGTGAAATTTCAAGAAATAAAAATACAAGAACATGTAAAAGTTGCCTTTATTACTGATTATTAGTAATTATATTATCTAGTAACAATAATTAATGATTACTAATTACATTTGTTATAGAGTGATCAGGTTCCTGTCGGTCATATTCCAAGAGCTTTAACAATATATTGTAGAGGTGAAACAACAAGAAACTGTTTACCTGGGGATCATGTACTTATAACGGGTATTTTTTTGCCAATCATAAAGTCCGGTTTTAGTGCTAGAGCTGGTGCAGCTCTCTTGAATGAAACATATATAGATGCACATGTAGGTGTTCATAATTTTGTTGTATTCTTACTTATACTTTTCGCTATTAGTTTGTACATAACATAGAGATTGTGTATGATTTAGAAAATCGTTTGTCTTACTAATATGCAAAGCGCTGATGATAGTAATGCTGAACTGACTGATGAAGAATTGTCTTTACTAATGGAAGATGATTTTTATGGGAAATTGGCTCGTTCGATAGCTCCAGAAATTTATGGGCTTGAAGATGTTAAGAAAGCATTGTTGTTACTTCTCGTTGGTGGAACAGATAAACATAGAGAAGATATTAAAATTAGAGGTTTATTTTCATGAACTATAATTGAAGTTTTATGTGTATCTCATTTTTGTTACTGTTAGTTCAACGTGTTTATCATTCATAGGTAACATTAACGTTTGTTTAATGGGTGATCCAGGAGTTGCCAAATCTCAGTTGCTTTCATTTATAACAAGGATGGCTCCTCGATCTCAATACACGACTGGTAGAGGTTCTTCAGGAGTTGGTTTAACTGCTTCAGTTATGAAAGATCCTCTAACTGGCCAAATGATGCTCGAAGGAGGAGCTTTGGTATTAGCCGATGAAGGTGTCTGCTGCATCGATGAATTTGATAAAATGGCAGATTCAGATCGCACAGCTATTCACGAAGTAATGGAACAACAAACAATATCTATTGCAAAAGCAGGAATTACGACACGTTTAAATGCAAGAGTTTCAATATTAGCTGCGGCAAATCCTGCATATGGCAGATACAATCCAAAGAGAACGGTTGAACAAAATATTCAGCTACCTGCTGCTTTATTATCGCGGTTTGATATATTGTGGTTAATTCAGGATCGAGCAGACCGTAGTAATGATCTGAAGTTAGTATTTATATGATTATATTTCTATGTCCAAAATATTCTAAAGTTGAACGATATTTTCACTATATATGTTTTTTAGATTGGCTCAACACATAACTTATGTTCATCAACATTGTATTCAACCACCTATGGAATCACACGTGTTGGATATGAATTTAATTAGAAAATATATTATTTTGTGTAGAACGAAACAGCCTGTTGTTCCAGAAGATTTAACAGACTATATAGTTGGTAAGACGATCGAATTTTCATGAATTTAAAGTCTATTTTTGCCCAATAGTGTTATTTGTAATATTTGTGCATAATCATTTTCAGAATCTTACGTGGAAATGAGAAGGGCGGCTCGTAATAGTCAGGACAATACATTCACGTCTGCACGAAATTTACTAGCATTATTACGTTTGTCAACTGCATTAGCGCGTCTAAGATTATCAAATGTTGTTGAAAAAGCAGATGTTTTGGAGGCAAATAGATTAATCGAGATGTCGAAATATTCTATTAACTATTCTGAAACACTGTCGACAAATGTGCACCAGAATCCAATGAATCGAATCTTCCACCTTATTAGAGAATTAGCTGGTGACAAAAAAACTGTTAAAGTGTCAGATATTTTGGAACGGTGTACAAGTAAAGGATTTAAACCTGATCAAATTAATGACTGTATTGAGGAATACGAGGCACTGAATGTGTGGCAAGTGAATCAAACAAGAACACAAATTACATTTATTTAATTATTTTACTACAGTATATTTAATAGGACGACATACAATGTATTTTTTGTACTTTAGTACTTTCAAAAGTATTTTCATGTATTTTTATCAGTTTAAATGAATAAATATCTTATTTTATTATTGAAAATCGTAATTAAAATTTTTTTAAACGAACCCTATGGATCTTTTCTGAAAAATTGTTCTGTAAACAGTTTTTTGGTACAGAGCAGATATTACAAATTGTATATAGGGTGTTCAGCTGCTAGTGTCAGAATCTGTAAGGGATGAATCTATATGCCAAAATATGTAAAGGCAGCCGTCCATTTGAGAGTTTCTCGCGCGGGTTGCGTTCGAGAATACTGTCACGCGACGGACATACAACAAACACACAGCCAGTTGTCATACAGTTAGACTTTAGACGATCCACTCGCGAGAAGTACTCTCGAGAGCAACTCGCGCAATAATATTCTATCGGACAATCGTTCGCCGAGAACAAAACAATTTCGTATTCCTACGAGAACTGTCGCGCGAGGAACATAATGCCCGGCAAGAAAAATTGGTGTGAAAACGAAATCAATAATTTAATTAGTGTATACGAAGAAAATTTCATACTATAATTTCCACGTCCATAATTACTATCTCACGTTACGTTTAGTTCAAAATAAACTGCAGAACAGACGGGCACGGACGAATCTCTAGTCACTACACACGAGAGTCTAGTGGATACTGGAGCTGTTGATTATAAGATAGTCGAGTACCCAGGTAACCCATGAGATATCCGGGTAAACAAAAATTACCCGGCTGCTCGGGTATCTCATGAGTTACTCGACATATGAGACAGTCGAGAATTTCGATACGGAAGGCGATAGTCTTTCGGTCATTTTCGATCGATGTCGGCAATGAATGAAGTAAACTGCGAAAATGATGCACGCTACGATTACGCTTGAATGTCTATCGTTACGAGAGGGAAAGAAACAAATTCGTTATTGCGTTCATTGCTGTTATTGATCGAAAATGACCGAAAGACTATCGATTCTCGTATCGAGATTCTCGACTGTCTCATATGTTCGAGTATCTCATGAGATACCCGGGTAGACGGGTAATTTTTGTTTACCCGAGTACTCCAGTATCTTATAATCACAGCTCTATTCTCAAATGGATAGACCACGTGACAGTACTCTCGAGCGCAACTCGCGCCAGAAACTCTCAAATGGAACGGCTAACTTAAAGAGAAAAGGCGGTAATCAGTGGCGGCTCATAACGTCCTCGAAGGATATCACAGTCCCTAAATAGCGTTGTTCGTGTAGGTAAGGAAGCGCGAGTAGGTGGATAAGTACGTACAGTCTGTGGTTTGTTTGGCAGTAGAGGAGTTAGGGCGGCGACCGAATCGGAGGGACAGTAGTGGGAGAGTGCCGGTCGGTCAGTGAAATGGCGAACGCACGCACAGTGCCGCTTTCGGTTCTCGGTTCTCGGTTCAGTCGCATCCAGCTACTCGTGGAACGTGTGTCGTGTGGTGCATGCATGCATGCTTGCTTGCGCGCGGTTAAACGTGCGTGCATGTGTGTGCTTATTATTCTGATGCATCGAAAGTGATCAAGTGTGCAGTTGTGTGCGGGCTATAATACGGTGTTGCGCGTCTCGACAGTGCATGCCGTGATTCCTGTGGCCGTCGTCTCGTCTGTCCGTCCATCGCGATCGCAGTAAATGCACGTCTCGCGTTCCTCAAGATCCCCAAGTAACACTCGGTCTTCTTCATCCCCGTGACGTTTGACAGCGCGGCCGATTCGTAGAACGAAGAGGAAAGTGGAAGGCCGCGTCCCGTCCTGCTGTTGATGACTCTTCGAACGATCGTGCCGAATACGTGACGACGAAGGAGGAGGAGGAGGAAGAGGAATTGAATCGTCTTGCTGCTCGTGTTCCATCTCTATCTCGATTACGATTCACGGAATTTGCCTGTATCGCTGCCGCTCATTTATCCTCAGTTCCTTTTTCTGTCATTTTGATTCCCTGTTGCCGGGTGCCGCGCCGTTTAAGGCTATTCCACCAAAATGAAAATCACATGGAGACATCGTCACGCGATCCTGGAACCTGTCTTAATCCTGATACTATTATGCGGCTGTTCTGGTTTCGTGTCATCTCGATCGTCACGTTCCGTGGAACATCCAGAGAAAGATGCGGATTTTTCGTTCGCCGATTGTGAGCATGTCAGGCCTTTCTTCGAGAGCAAGAAAATCACGATCACGGTTGCGAATCAGGATAGTACACCCGACGTCATTGCCAGAAGTAAGTGAACGAATTGATTAATACTACAATACATATCTGGAGCAATAGTTATTGCTGGATAACTTGCATACGTTAAACTATATTTTTTTATTTCATTATGATAGAAACTCGAACACATTTTTTTTAAACAAATCGAATCGATTCGGGCGAATTTTTTGCGTTTCAAATTACCCGCCGCAACGTTCCGCGATGCTCCAATTATGCTGGTAAACCGGGCAAGTTCGATCGGTTTAGAATTCCCAGCGCGGGTGGAAACTGTATGAAGCGTTTCGCGATTCGTTGAGCGAAATGAACTAGGAGTCTTGATTATGCCAGTTTGATTTTAATTATGAAATTTTGCTTATTGACTCTCAAGAGTAGTTACATTAAACGCCACTTAATATTATTACATCAAATGGCACTTGAGAAATCTTTGTGAAAATCCACTTTAATTGTCGTGAGAGCGATAGATGTGCCTTATACCGTGCGCATTTCTTGCAGTATCTTTAACAAAGATCTGTCACCATCCATGGATTGCTATGAAATATTCTTCGTCGAGTGTTAATTTGCAGATTTCTCGAAAGATAGCTTGTGATACTAGCATGTACAAGGAAACATTTAATAAGTAGACTAGCATTCTAAAACTTTGGAATTACCACAGCATGAATGCCTAAAATTTAGGTGATTGTCTAAAGTGGAGAAAATAGAACCATATAATTTTCTTTTTACACGGTATCCTCCAGAAAATCGTTAAATTTGACACGGTATTCTCTCGAAAATCTTCATAAATTGATTCGTCCAAATCACCTTTAAGTTTTAGAGATTGGAATTGTTTCTGATTAGACTGGAAGCACGTTTTTCACGGTACAAGATTATCATTGACATCGAAATTAGAAAAATGTGAAAAATTTCGTATAATCATTGTTAACTCCAAACTAATTTGTTTACTTACATTACCACTAAATTTATAAAATGATAATTACATAAATAGCTAGGTGGCATCTCCATCAGAAATACAAGAAGTACTTATCATATTATATAGTTATAAATAAAATGCAGCGTAACAGGACGATCGTCATTAAATACATATAATGAAGGACATTACTATTTTATTGAATAGAATTGTATGTCTTTTTACAACGTAGCGATAATTGGAATTGTGCAAAATACGAAGATATACAGGGTGTCTTTTTTAATCGGAGTCGGTGGAATATCTTGTAAGAAATTGAAGGCATTAAAAACAAATATTCTTACAGAAGTTGTTACGTATGAAGGGGCACATTGTGTGTCATAAATATCTTCTTGTAGGTGCGGGAATAGGGGAGATTTCAAGGTCAAGTTAATTTTTTTAAACGGAATCCGACATTTTTTCATTCATAAGATGATAGCATTTGTTGAGATAAGTTTAACGATGTGCTATATCAGGTCATTGGGTGTAGTAGGATGTCGTAAATTAAGTAGTGGCATGTAAGTAGTCAGATCAATGCGAATTACGAGTCTGCTGCGACTCCGTAGCATGATTATATAGGATTTAGTAGCACACGACCTGTAATCATGCCGATCTGACTCCAAATTTTACTAATTTACGACGTTCTGCTCCACTCAATGACCTTATGTGCAACATTGTTGAACTCGTGTCTACAAACGCTATTATATTATGAATGAAAAATATAGCATTTTATTTGAAAAAATTGACTTGACTTTGAAATCTCCTCTACTACTCTACCTACAAAAAAATTATTTATACCACACGATGGCCTCCTTCATACCAAACAACTTATGTAAGAATATGTTTTTACACTTTCTTTGCAGTTATAAGGGAAGCCCTGTAGATACATTTCAGTATATCGTTATTCCACTTAAGTGTATATTAATATGTAGTTGTTTAACTTATGTGAATATAGTTGATTTCCAAAAATTTATTAATATGATCCAAAACTGTAGAACAGTAGCGTATATTCCATATTGTTTTTTTGCTGGTTTCTTTATATGATGTTTGAATACAAGTGATGTACCGATCTATGTACCGACGAATGTAAACAATATGGAAAGCATACATAGCCCTAATATTTCCGTTATTGTGATCTAATTATATTTAATTTCGGTAACTTAGATGATTTTACAATTTTACAGTTTCTTTTGTTTTTTCTCTCATATTCTTTGCTATTAAACGATTAGTATTTTGGAATTGTATATTGTCAATACTTTGCTGGTCATGGAAAAAAAACTATTTTACGATGACGTACAATTGTCTATATTGATAGAACATAGAATGATTCTCCGAATAGATACATGTATGTACATACTATACATATGTACGTATACCAGCATGTCACTATCGACAATAAATTGCTTATACATGATGCCAGTGGTTTAAGAATCTATTAGTAATTAGGAACTTTCTTTATTTTAACCGCAGATATTATAATGTTATTTAATCATATGGAAAATCATATTGTTAGAATTCCACGCTTTTTAGTTACTCGTCTTTATTTATTTTTTAAACTTAATAACAATAAACAACAATAAGCGATTAAGAAACAATGGTACATTATGATCGGCCGTTCTAGTACGATCGTTTTCAACCCGAATTTCCGAAAACGTCTACTGTCAATCCGAGCTTCCAGAAAACGGACGCTCCTATTTAATCGATAATTTCGACGTCGGTAGAGATCGACCGTCTTCTCGATTCTGTTGTTACGCCACTGGCCTTGATGCTCTACTTGGTGTTCGCATAGGCTTGTAATAATAATAATAATAATAATAATAATTATAATAATAATAATACTAATAATAATAATAATAATATATTGCACCTCAAATTACTCGCAATTATTCAAACGATGCCAAATAATTTTTTGTTGTCATTTTTTTGAGAGACATCAAGGTCACCTTCATTTTTTTAAATGGAACCACCCTTTCTTCCGTGACCTTGAATGACCTTGAATAATTATAGTCACTGAATTCCAAACGAAAGGGACTATCATTGTAGGTGTTTAAAAAAGGGTGATTCCATTTAAAAAATGAAGGTGAGGTTGATATTCCTAACAAAAAATGACATAAAAACAAACTTTTTTTTTTGTATCGTGTGAGCCCCATTAAACCATTCAACTTTGTCCGTACAACATTTGACGTATCTTTAAAAATAACAAAGATATTTGAGGTGCAAACGTTAGGTGACTCCCCTGTATATGTATGTATATGTGTATGTATATTGAATAGCAGTGTATACATGTATACAGGGTTTCTCAGTTAACTTGATTACTTCAAATAATAACTTAACGGTACACTTTATAAAAATTTTGAGGCGTGGAACTCAAATGGTATCAAGGGGCACATCTCATAAGGTACGTACTGTTTTTGTGGGTAGAGACATTTCCGAGATTTCAAGGTCACCTTGATTTTTTTAACGGAATGACCTATTTATGTACCACAGATCGATAGAGTATCAAATTCTGAGCACAAATGTGTTGACCTTCATACGTTCTAAACCTAATAGTTAACGAAATATTTACAAAATACTTTTTAATACCTACTTTTTTCCAAAAAATATTTAATATAACTATTATTCTTGGCCTCTGGTTCTATCGTTATAAAGACTGCGGAATCGTGTAGTAAATGGTATCATTAACAACAAACATGAACTCTCCCTCTCCTTCCTCTGCTCTCTCTCCCCACTCTCGACCCATCCATCTCCCCACCACCACCTTCATCCCTACCTCCACCACATTTACATCTCCCTTCCTTTATCCCTACTCTCTACCTCTTTATCTGTGGACAATCGTATCGTAACCCACTTTACACGACTCTAACCACTTGTCGAATTGAGGGCGAAGGGTCGCTGATGCAGCTTCCGGTTTTATACGCTTCCGTACGTCAAGTGCTGCACATCGCACATAGCGGTGAAAATGGATTGAAATAATCGTCCGCGGGAAGTATCCAATAATGTTAACAATCGTAATTTAAGGGGACTTTCTCATTCAAAATTGAAAAAAAAAGACACTTTTTTAATATTTCTTTATAAAAAAACTATTATATTTAGAAACATAATTCCTTTTGGACGCTATTATATATATTATTAAGAACATAAAGAAATTTTTTCTAGCACTTTTAGTTCACCACGACCGCTGTAGAAGGCGTCTTCCAAAAAGTCACGTTTTAATCGGTGAGACACTGTGCAGACGTCCTGTAAAAAATTAAGTAAAAATTCAAACGGGATTCTATTCGTGAGACTTAAAACTAGACAATAAACCTCTAAAATATTTTATTTTTTGTATTTTTTATCGCTTTATACATATTTTTCCGAAAAATTCGAAAAATCACTTTTTTGGGGACAATTCACCCCTGTATAAAAAAGGGGGGGGGTAGTTTTACGAATTTTTAGAGGTTTATTGTCTAGTTTTAAGTCTCACGAATAGAATCCCGTTTGAATTTTTACTTAATTTTTTACAGGACGTCTGCAAAGTGTCTCGCCGATTAAAACGTGGCTTTTTGGAAGACGCCCTCTACAGCGGTCGTGGTGAACTAAAAGTGCTAGAAGAAATTTCTTTATGTTCTTAATAATATATATAATAGCGTCCAAAAGGAATTATATTTCTAAATATAATAGTTTTTTTATAAAGAAATATTAAAAAAGTGTCTTTTTTTTCAATTTTGAATGAGAAAGTCTCCTTAACCGTCAAATTACTTATAGAATGCATTCCTATTTTCTGTGCTCTTAATTTCGAATCAAATGTAATAAGTAGACTGCGGATTTTATGCATTTATTGCCTATAGGAGTCTGTGAAATGCAGTGAAAGACAAAGCTTACATCAGATGTAATGGGTTTATTATTTTATTCTGAACCCAGTGAGATACTTAAGAGCAGAATGGAATTCCTACATTTGCCATGTCTTTATGAATTAATTTAGCACGTCATTTTGCATAAAAATTGAATGATTCATTAAAAGAATTCAGAAATACTGAGATCTTATTAAAAATGTGATATAAAAAATGCAGCTGGAGTAGGCTAAAAATTGTGT